AGGGTTCAGTGTCTGCTGCACTTCGAATCAGGCATCTCCCGGAGGCAAAGGGTTTAACAGGGTAATTATCTGTCATTTGGATCTGGATTCTGACAGGGAAGAATGTTGTTTCACAGGCTCACATACTCTGCCCCGCAGCGCAGAAGGTCTGTTTTCATAGCTAGGCTAATTTACACAGAACCCCAGGCACCATGACACTCAATACCTGGAATACTTGCAGGAAAACAAGCATCTGGCTTGCCTTGAACTTCAGCTACTCCAAACACAAACATGCCCTTCCGTCTACGCTGGGGCTAGTCACTCACTCCCTTTCCATTTCTATTCAAGACTGCACTGGGTTAATGGAGACCTGAAACAAGGTCTAGAGCCAAAAAAGATGCCATCAGATTTATGGAAGATGCCACACTAACACCTGGAGATCTACAGTCTACTGATCTCCTCCTCCACACTCCCCTGATCACACTGACACCTGGAGATCTGCAGTACTGATCTCCTCCTCCACACTCCCCTGATCACACTGACACCTGGGATCTAGTCTGTCACGCAGCGAGGTCCAACATTAGTGCAGAACACTTTGAAAGTACTGCACTTACAGTACATTGCATGTCTTTTCTCATGTTAAACATACTCGCAGTAATCACAGCAAATAGGCTTACGCCAATGGGCAGTAGCCAGTGGGGAAGCTGGTTACTCACAGGTGGAGTTGCCCTGCATCTGGATGACGCACTTGGCGTCGCGGCTCGTCTCACGGGAGTTGAAAGGTCGCACCCTCACTGCCACCTTCACCGAGGCCGATGCCATCCTGAGTTGGGGCGGGGTCTCCGGATCAGTGCAAAATAAGAGGAAAAAAAAATCTGAAACAACAAAAAGACAACAGAGGAGGCATATAGGTGACTCAGTCTGACAGGCAAGACTGCTTTTACCTTCTTTCACAGAACTCTCACAGGAAGAGTGGCGTCTCACTGATAGCACTGGGAGACCACAGCAGAGTGAGCACTGACTGGAGGAGAGACGCAGCTCTCACTGACAGCACTGAGAGATCACAGCAGAGTGAGCACTGACTGGAGGAG